ATTCCGGGCACGTCGGATTAATTAATTTACGAACATTTTATTTTACGTTTACGCGGTTTTACTGCGCCAACAAATACGCCGGTGCGTTGTCGCTTCTTCTCGGAGACGAAGGCCCAAAGATAACATCTTGATTCCCGGATGCGCGCGAACGAGAGTGATTATTTACCGAAGTTAGTGGTCGTTAGTGAATCTATCCTAGCGTATTCAGGCGCACTCGCATGACGAGCCGGCGCTCACCGGGGATATTTTTGGGCCGCCCTATGCGGCGCTGGATGATTCACGCCGCGGGAGAGAGGACGCCACGAACGTCCAAAGAGATTCTGAGAGATTCTGCCGGGGGACTTAAAGATGGATGGAGTATCGCGCGAACACACCTCAAAGCGCGTCCGCGAAACAGTACACAAAGTATCTTAAACGATGTTTATCCCGCGGCCCCGTTATCGAGCCGACGGTGACGAGGGAAATCATTCTTTCCCGTCGCCGTTATGGGCTCTATTAGCATACGGGAAATAGGCAAACTTTCGCATACGCCGGAGTGCCTTTTGGCTTGCCCGCGGTTCCTGGGACGATCCCTCTCCCGCGAACAGCCCGAACTTTCGACGTGTATCATCGCCGCTGAATAAAAGCGACGCGGGGAAACATACGGCCGCAATAATCCCGCCCGTACGTACGAAATAAAAATCTGAATATCGATCGGCATTTTTTGCCGAGAGAATAATTCACCGCGGCGGGATTATCGCGTCAACGTGTACGGCGCGGCACTTGGTACATTATTATAACGAAAGAACCGCTGTATCTACACCGAGGGGGAAACCGCTGACCAAAATCTTGTACACCAATGCCCAATAATGCCTGGATTACTTTATCTTATTATCTTATTTTATCCATATTTATCTTATTTTGTCTTTATAATTCCGCAGCAAGGCCTAATGCCCAAACTTATAATGCCCCAAAAAATGCCTAGTAGTGCCGAGTAATGCCGCAAATCTATTACAATGCCCTCAGCGGTTTTCCCCGCGTATATTTGTGAACGTAAAATTAGACGCGTAATATCGAAACGTCCGGCGTATCACGGGGGGTTGTTTTACTCCCCTCGCGGAAAATATCTCGCGCGTTTTCGCAAGCCGCGCGAAGACATTTATAAGATTTTCCTCGTTAAACCGATGTAATTTGCTTTACTGCTGAAAAAAGGATATTTGCTCGCCATTAGCGTAGCGTCTGCCGTGCATTAGCAACGCTATTATTATCGTGTTTGCCTTGCAGATACGCGGCACGGTAACAGCGCGTCTCTTTGTTCCTCGTGAATATGTTGCACGGGCAAGTTGCGAGCTCGTAACCGAGCAAAATGCGTATCTGACCCGGTTTACTTGCGGCCGGTTTCAATTGCATTTATGCTCGATTCCCGATTCAGTTAAATGTGATTTCCCCTTAAGCGCGTCATTTTTTTCTCTCGCAAGGACGTTGTGCGAGGCATTGCCCTTTTGTATCAGGATTATCCGACTTGCCGTTAGTTATTCAGTACGCTGCGAGCGGGCCTATCGTCTCGCAGATCGTTTTCCTACGAGAGCAAGGTATCGAGGAGAGGCTATTGTTATTTTACAATTTTATTGTCTTATGAAATCCATAAATGCAATATCAATCGCGGAATCTATTTTCGCCCAAGCGAGATTTAACTTTGTGGCTGCACGCCGTGGAGGAATAAAAAATTCACGGTACACACCGCGTATCAAGGAGTCGATAACGCCTTTAAAAAAACATGATAGCGCGCATGGTTGCGCGCGCCTCCACTTAAATCCGGAGCTCGGGAACAAAAGATACAGCGGGGCAGGGGGAGAAAAGGAAAAATACCGTGGTCGGAATGAAGAGCGACGGCGGCGAGGGAGGGGGGGGGTAGAAAAAAAATCGAATTCAATCGACTGGGGGGCCACCGAAGGGAAGAGCAACGGCGGCGGCAGCGGCGCGCGCGCGGCAACAGTTTTACGATTTGGGCGCGCGCGGCCGAAGGAACGGCGGAAACGACGGGGGTGTATATACGGCGAGAGGACGAGGCGATGCGAATTCCATTCCATTAGTCGGCCGTTAACGATCGAACGTGTTCGCTCGTCCGTGTGCACGCAGGATATATCCACGGAGAGAGGTTTCGTGAAGGTCCTGCGGAATGCAGAGAGAGAGAGAGAGAGAGAGAGAGAGAGAGAGAGAGAGAGAGAGAGAGAGAGAGAGAAAGAGAGAGAGAGAGAGAGAGGCCTGCTGTACCATCCCTCTGTCCCCTCTGACCCGAGCCATCCCTCGTCGGGCCTCGTTTTTCGCCGTGCGATTTCTCTCCGGGACGGCGTAAAGGATTTTCGATTACGTTTTGTCGCCGCTTTTGTTCCGCTCTGTGTTCCGTTTTCGAGCCCACTTCACGTGGCCCTTTCGTATCACGCGAAAAAAAAAATCCTCCTGCCTCTCCCACGATTCTTTATTTAACCGGCACTCGATCTCTTTCCCGGGGCCAACCTATACATTTTTTACTGTGCTTTCCCGTATTGCGTCCCTCCTTACCTGCGCGCAAATTGCATTCTTGCGAAATTGATTTAGGATTGAACGGCAATGTGGGTGTTAAACTTATCGCCGGGGTGAACGTTAACGTGTCTCACGATATGAATATAAATACGCTTAGGTAGTTTATTTCTTAAGGAAGAGAGACGATGAAATATACGAAACTTGGAAAACGAGCTAATAGCGAATTCGATCGCTTGCACCAGTGGGCACCGAGTGCACACCGAGGGGGAAACCGCTGACCAAAATCTTGTACACCAATGCCCACTAATGCCCAGCGGGCATTACTTTACCTTATTATCCTATGTTATCTCATTTTATCTTTATAAGGCCCCAGTAAGGCCCAAACTAATGCCCAAAAAATGCCTAGTAATGCCCAGTAATGCCGCAAATCTGCACACCACAATGTCTTCAGCGGTTTTTCCCTCGATAAGAATTGACTGTAGAGAAGCTTTGGTGTGCACTCAGCGCGCACTGGTGCTAGCGACCGAATTCGCTACAAGTCTTTGGAAGGAAAGTAATCTATCGCATCCCTCCGATTATGCGGGGACAAAATTACAAAGACAATTCTTTGCGATTAATCGCTGAGAATCGGCGATTCTCTTTCACTATTCCACTCGCTCGTTCCAATCGTCATTAGCCCCGCATCACGCTCGGGCGAGACATACATCAGGAAGTAATTCCGAGTCGCCGAACATTACTGTCGGCGTACGAAAACGATTCGGCGGAAGAACAAAACGCGACCGCGAAGCAGGGAACCGCAGCTCTCCGGATTCTCCTCATATCATGCCCGCCGGCCGCGGTTTCTCGACTCCGCCGGAGCCTGGAAATTGAATTTCGGCGGCGGCGGCGCGCGCGCGGCTTTCTAATTCGAATTTGAGGTTTCTCGCGGAACGCTCGTACATTCGGCGAAACGGCCGGATCAGGTCTAACAGCGGGATTTATTCGACTTCACGACGGAAGAAGGGGGGTTGGCTGGTGTCGACGAGGGGACGGGTGGCGGGTCGGGGCGCGTCGGGGCGAGAACGAAGGGTCGCGACCACAGACACCAACCGAAAGCGCGAAACTATAGAGACCAACTAGTAGCAAGGGGTGGAGATGCGAGGGATTTATGGACCGACGAAGACTTACAACACCTGTTCGTGTGTCTACGGGGTGTCGCCCGACGTGAGGCGACCAGGATTCGGATATCCCGATCGGCTCGCGATCGGCGTAACAGCGGGCAAAACTTGTCTGATTGCGTCGCGGTGTCGGGTCTTGGATAACAGACGTCGCGAATTAGCCGAGGGATTTGTTTAAGCGTAAAACCGGACGGCGGTTCCCCGCGGACGCCTCGTGTGTACGCATCCGTAGGCGTCCGTGCATGAGCGACGGCATTTCAAATTCGCGTCAGGCGCCGGCATCGCGGACGACTGCAAACGCCAGCGGCGTCATGCGATAATTCCCAACTTCTCCAATTATCGTTTCACTCCCCGTCGCCTCCGCGCCGCCCGGGGAAAGGAGGTCGAAAGAGAATAAACCCGGGGAATAAGACTCGGGCTGACGTTGCCCGAATCGCGCCCGATCGCGGCCCGCAAACCGCCGGGAGAAATAAGTATTCGCCGTGATCGGAATCGCGGGAGACCTAGAGGGATTTGATCGAATTAAAGTTTCGGCGGTGACGCGCGGGAGACCGCGCTGTTCACCGGGGGAATCGATGGGTCGCGAGTGTCAACGGGGGAGAGAGAGAGCGAGAGAGAGAGAGAAAGCGCCGAGAAATCTCATTAAGGCGACGCCGCTCTCCCGCGGATGATCGCGTAGCTCGCGAGATAATCAGAAAAATCTCGCTCTTTTATCGCGCTCCTCCCCCGTCGGCGACACTCGGGATCGCGCCGGGAACGATTTAATCTAATTTTCATGACGCCGCGTCCGATTAAAGCTGCATTTGATACGTATGTAAAGGGTTTTCCCAGCCAAGTGTTTTCCCGCCGTGCCGTTTTACATTTCAATTTTCCGGCGGGAAACGCGAGCCCGCGCGATTCGTGCGCGTCGCAAATGAGACATCGGCCCCCGAGTTGGACGGTAAATCGTCGGAGAAAAACAGCCTCCGGCACGGCGGAATCGCGCCCGATTTCCCCTCATGACGCCAGTTACACAAATTACTTAAAGCTCCCGACCAGCGCCGCGCAGCCTCTCGGCTGCGCGGCATTAATTCTAGAATAATAATCCTATACTCTTCGATGTTTTATTCATCGCCGCGCGCTATGCTCTACTGCTGCTCGTGTACTATGCAAATTTTCCGGGGCAATAAAACAACGTATCATTCGGTGGCAAAATATATACTACGTGCTTGAAAGCGCGGAGCTGGGGGAGAAACGGGTATAAACATCGCGAAAATTGTCCCGGACAGCGCACGGGCGATTTGGCGCGTCCCAAAGTTGCGCCGCGCGTCCGCTTCCCGCGAAAGCGCTCAAACTACTTACCGATCAGCTTGCCGAACTGCGCCGGAGGCTTCCACTCCGGATAGTGTCGTGGGAATCGCGCCCTCGACCAGTAGGTCCTCAGGGTGACTTTGTAAAGCGCCAGCTTGTCCTGCTTGTCCTGCTTCTCCTGCCGGTCCTGGGCGTACGAGCCGCACTGGCCGTGCACCGCGAGGAATCTCGTGGCGAGCAGGAGCAGCAAGAGCACCGACCACCGGTGCCACGTGCCGCGCGACATCTGCGGAACAAGAGATATATATATATATATATATATACATATACA